CGGGTAAACCTGGCCACAGTATTCTGGACCAAATATCTCGACCAGATGGAGGAACCCGCTCACGCATCATGGAAGGTAACGAACCTACGTTCACTGCTACAAGACTAAGGGTATAGAGCAGTGTTTTCTCAAACATTTTTCTTACAAGGACCACTTGCAATAAAAAACACTCGCGGACCCACCTATACTCCACAAATATCAAACAACATATCGTTTCTTCTAGACAGATTACAAATCGCCTGAAAATGGTACAAACAAGTGGCAACTTGTGTGATGAAGGTGTTGCGCGGGGCTATATCATGCGATCGAAAGTGAAAATTAACCTCACTCCATTACTCTCGACCAAAAATCGTTTATAAATGTGCTATATAAATAAAACTTGATTTGATTTGCGGAGATATTCCCGTGAGAGTGCGGAAAACTTAAATTTATTTATTTATTTCAAATGTGACATTTTACCAATATACTCACGGACCACTAGGGGGCGCTCACGGACCACCAGTGGTCTGCGGACCACACTTTGAGAAGCACTGGTATAGATTATATATGAGCTAACTTTCCTAACAATATCAGGACATTTCCACGTGGAATTTCAAAAGTAAGAGCACCCTAAATGTCTTATATGAGCTGTGTTTCTTAAAATACAAATAACTTTACTAAAAAAATTCACGAGTGTATAAAATGGTTAAATCCAAATGTGTTTTTGAGAAGATATGAAACTGTCATCATTGCCTAAAAATATGTTATATTATCTAGCCTAACAGAGATATATTTTATAAGCCATGTTGCCCAATGTTGCAAATATATAACCTACCTAGCCGCTGTACATTTCTGATATCCTCTGTCCGACCTGTAGGCACGTCTATGGTCCAGCACCTGATGACGATCCTCATCAGGGAACACAACCGCTTCTACTCAGGGAGGGACCCCGAGGTGCTCACCGTGCCCCAATCAGAGCTCCCTGTCGTGGGGCAGCAGCACCGCAGCCTGGGGGCCTGGATCTCAGAGGAGGACCTGCAGACCTGCCCGGTGTCCAACCCCCCCGACCAGGAGCTGCACAGCAGTGCCTCGTCGCTGGACGCCAAACTGTGTGCAGCAGCCTTCACCCCCACGCAGACCCCCAACCTGAACCCTGGACCAAAGCTGGGGTCTCCGTCAGGGAAAGGAGAGCTGGTGGTCAGCCCGAGCAAACAGGGAAAGAACATCCCCTCCTGGAAGTACTCTTTTAAAAGCTCCTCGGCGCCTCGTTCCCAACCGCAAGGCAAACAACCCGTCCCCTCTGTGGCGGATCCAAGTGTGACTTCCACTGGAGGAGGAGGGGGAGGGGGAGGAGTTGGTGGAGGAGGAGGAGGAGGAGGAGGTGGAGGTAACTGGCTCATGAATGGTTTGTCCTCTTTAAGGGGACACCGGCGCACCTCCTCAGGAGAAAGATCAGCCAGAGATCGAGACTCCACGGGCTCCTCTCAAAGACTGTCCACCTACGACAACGTCACCTCCTCGTCCAGCATGGGCAGCGTTCCCAGTGTCGCCAGCACACCCTGGTCCTCCTCCTCCTGCGAGATCTCCGTCCCAGACTCGGGGAGTGAGCCCTCGCCCAACCAGAACAACTGCGGAGTGGCGGGCGAAGGAGGCGGGGAGGACAAAGGGGAGTGGGCGGAGAGCCAGAGGGAGATGGACGGAGGGGGGGGGATGACCACGGACCCGGGCTCGGAGCAGGACAGCTGCGAGGCCATGGAGCTGTGCAGCAGCAGCGGAGCCTGCAGCGAGAACGGGAACACGGCCATGGCCAGCGGGGTGCCGTCCATCATCATGTCCGAGGACGGGGACGGGATGAACCTGAGTCTCAGCGGGCTGGTGGAGGGACTGAAGGACGAGCTGAGGAAACAGAAGACGGGATACGAGGGCAGGATCCAGAAGTAAGTCTGGGTTCCTGAACTTTGTCACATGGGGGTAGATTTGCTAGATAAGTAAATTGGGGCATCATTTGGAACCACTCTAAAATTGTAACTGGGCATTTTCTGTTCTTGAGTTATGTAACAGGAATACATATACAAACACAGGCAATGAAAATGTACTTACTTGACACTATGATGTGCTAGTCACCAAACTGTAGAAACACTGGATCCTACATTTCCCAAAGTGCAACTCAATTAGGGCTTCAACTATCGATTTCTTTCCTTATAGACCAGTTTTTAAAATATGTTATATTTAGCGAAAAAAAATCCATCCCTGTCGAATCCCAAGTCCAAGCTTACGTCTCTAAAGTCTAAAGGTGTTGTCAGCCAAAAATAGAACATGTTCGCTTTAATACAGGACTTCCAAAAAGAGTCCCAAAGTTAGCTTCACAAATGAGTTTCCTTTAAGGTATCTCCAAATAGGGCAACGGTAAACCAAGATGACCTAAATGGTTAGGTACGATCTGAGGTGAGTGTTAAATTTAAAACTTAAAAATGGTCGCATTTCTATGTGACGATCTGAGGAAACAGAAGACTTCATACGAGGGCAGGATCCAAAAGTCAGTCTGGGTTCCTGAACTTCGTCACATGGGGGTAGATTTGCTTTTATGATAAGTAAGATTGGTCCATGGTTTGGAACTACTCTGCTCTAGAATAGCAATCAGCTCCCTTTATTTACCCCACATGATTCAAGTTGGATGTGTTACTAAGCATTATCTGTAATTGAGTTATGTTATAGGAACACCTTTAGGAAGATAGGCATTGAAAATATTCCCACTTAACGTGACGCCACATTTCCCATAGTGCATCTCAATAAGGGCAGCAATTAACAGTTTCTCAAAGTCCAAGGTTATGTCTTTAAATGTCATGTTTTATCAGTCAAAAAATTCAAGATATTTACTTTAATGTGATGTTAAACAAAACAAAAAAGGGTTTCCAGGAGGACCTAAAACGACATGCGCTAAATCAGATACAACAGAGAGACCCAGTAGCTTCCCAAACTAATTTTCACTTATGGCACATTTCCATTGCAGGGCTTCGCTCGGCTTAGTACGGTATGGCTAGGCCTCCTTAGGCCTCGTTAGGCCAGGCTCACTTTATGCTGCGTTTCCATCACAGTTGAGTAGCTGGGGTAGTAACTATAGTAACGCAGTGTAGGCGGAGCCGTGACGTCATCTTCAATGCGAACCACAAAACCAACATCAGCCGTTAGCTGTTAGCACTCAGAGACAAAAAGTAGACAAAAGTTAAACAAGTCCAAACCACAGACTGTCTGTGTCATGGAGAATACAGTCGCTGGTTTATTTATGTCTGTAGGCCGTTGTTGTGAGTGTGGACGGTCGGAGCATATACTGCGTTAGCTTAGCCGATCTCCATTCAGAAAACACACATTTTAAAAGGTGTTTCGCCTGCCGTCTGTCTTCAGACTTGTCAAAGCATTAATTCATGGTTTTTACTAACCGGTATCAGTATGTTGTTACTTCGGCATCATTTAGAAACGTGTATTACAATTAAATCACGGTCAAATATGTTCATGTTGTTGTAGTTGCCAGCGATTCTCTCACTAGTTTAGCATACTCAGCCCGGTTGTTGGCCCGGAAAGAACCTCGATTTTGGAGAGCCAGAAAACTGTGAAAAAGTACCAGCTAGCCGGAACTACGCCAAGTGGAAACGCAACCAAAAATTGGCCAGGCATGCTTAAACCGCGCTGTAGTGGAAATGCGCCATAATATATACCAAAACTAGGAAAAACATGAAAGCGAAACTCCATGAATAGCTAGATACAAATTGATGTGATTGTTATTTAAAACTTTAAAGATGTTGCATTTTCGATTGAAAAGTGCAGCTTTTAGTCGTGTCCAAATACCACCAAAGAATATTGTAATAAGCCATTATTAGAAAAGGTGACTGTCAATGACTTTTCTGTTTCTGATGTGCTTCACCTTCAGATTGGAGGAGTCCAGCGCCGCTTTGTATGCGCAGATGGAGCGTCTGGAACATGAGATGGAGCAGGAGAAGAAGAAGCAACGCATGCTGGAGATCAAACTACGAAACTCTGACCGAGCGCGGGAGGACGCGGAGAACCGCAACCGGCTTCTGGAGAAGGAGATGGAGGATTTCTTTTCCACGCTGGGAGATCTGGCTCTTGGTGCGAGGACTAGTGACATTTGATACGGCATGTGGTCAAAACTGTCCGGGTTTTGTCTTTCTGGGGGTCTTTGAACACATCCTCCTTGGTGTATCAGGGCGTTGAAGGAACCGGCCATATTTGTGTACATTCAGGACGAACAGAAATATGGAGATCAGAGAGAGGAGACTCTGAAGCATGCTTGAAGTGGAACGTTGAATTAAGATGTGAATACACTCCTTGATGAGTCCAGGGTTTGTCTTGTGAAGGCAGTATTTAACAGTTCAGGTGCCTGAAGTGTCTGAAGATGTGGATGGTGGGACATAATGTAATTTCTCTGACATTCTCTATACTGGAGAGCACTGACATTAAACACTACTTATAGGGACATTACACGAATGCTTTTTGTTCTGCAACTGAAGGACATGTTGACGTTAGCAGGCCGCTGACTGATATCTATCTGTAAGGAATAGGGCTACATTTTGGGATACACACTTATTTGCCTTCTTGCTGAGAGTGAGACGAGAGAATATTATTGTCTGTTGGATTGATATGTAGCTACAGTTAGCTTAGCTTTAATTAGAGATAGAAAACTGGAAAAAGGGCTAGCATAGCATTTAAGTCTGCCAACCAACAGTTCTCAAGCAGATTTATTAACATGTTAGGCTAACTTGTTCCACTGTTTTCTATATTTATGTTAAGTAAGCTAACTATCCACTGTTTTCTACCTTTATGATAAGCTAGGCTAACAAGCTACTTGCTGTGGCTTTAAATCAGTGTTTCTCAAAGTTTTTCATACCAAGGACCACTTAACCAATAAAAAAACACTCGCGGACCACCTAACTCCACAAATATCCAAAATCACATCGTTTTTCTAGAACAGATTACAAATCGCCTGAAAATGGTACAAACAAGTTGCAACATGTGTGATGAAGGTGTTGCGCGGGGCTATATCACGCAATCGAAAGTGAAACTTAAGCTCACTCCATTGTGAAGATACTCCCGCGAGAGTGCGGAAAGCTCAAATTAATTCATTTATTTCAAATGTAAAATGTTACCAATATACTCACGGACCACTAGGGGGAGCTCACGGACCACCATTGGTCCGCGGACCATACTTTGAGAAGCACTGCTTTAAATGTATCCTACAGACATGAGAATAGTGTCAATCTAATCTTCTAAGTCTCTCCACAAGGCTAATGAATGAAGTATTTCCTAAAATATAAAGCTGTATTAACTGTAAAGTCAGTTCACCTAAATTAAAAAAACAGCATATTTTCTCCCTTGCCTGTTATGGTAGCTATCAAATTGCTTGGTTCTTGAAGTTACGAAACAGGGGATAGG